ATAATAATAATAATAATAATGAGGATGATGATGGAGGTCTAGGAGTTTTAACGCCCCCATTGACACAATTATGATCATTTAGGAGACAGAAAGAAGATGAGCTACAACCTGGACACAGAAAACAGCTGACAGAACAGAGTGGAGGTCGTTGTTGGAAGGCAGTGGACAAAAAACGCCTACAGAAAGAAAGGAAGAAAGAAAGAAAGAAAGGAAAAAAGAAAGAAAGAAAGGAAGAAAGAGAGAAAGAAAGAAAGAAAGAAAGAAAGGAGGCGGACTTCCGACCCTGCCTGTTAGGGTCAGCCCGGGTTGAGAAAGATACAACAATATAATATGGTCGCTTTTAAGGACAAGCGAGTTAACTCAGATTTCGGGGGTTTCCAGAAATCTTGACCTACCCCAAAAGTGAGCATTGCGCTACCTATAGGAGAAGTTTGATTTCATTGGTGTGTATATTTGTGTGGTTATTTGGAGAAAACTCTCCTTGTCTTTTAAAGAAAATGAACAAGGGGCAAACCTTTACCTTCGATTTTCTCAAAACAGTATTTTCCAGGATTGCCTCTTTGTGCTTAAAAGCGATCGTATATCCTAGCAGAAAGACCGAGACACTCGATAAACATTTTCAAAGAATTTTCTCTTCGTGAACTTACTTTACTTTACAGTAATAAATTTCATTTAGCGTCAAAGAGTCATAATATGGTTCGGACATCTAACCCGCCCCAGAAACAACTAGCAGCGAGAGTTTACCACACCCCTGAATCTGGTTTCAAATCAAGAAGCAGACGAAGAAGGTCCTGGAACAACATAATAACATTTTCCCCCTTTTTTAACCCTAGCCCATTTCTATGATATTGACGCCATCTGATAAGTAGAAAAATGTGCGTATGAGAGTGCCCAATAATGTATAACGTACCAAATTGTTATGACATATAACTGTTACATATAGATGTTTATGATGATTAATTATAGATGTTTGTGAAGGATCTGAGAGCAATGATGACTTTAGAAATGACGGTGGTGGTGGTGATAAGTGATGATGTGGGATGGTGCTTATGTTTATAATTATTAAGAAGACATGCTTCTATCACAGACGCTACACACTTAGCACAGGACTGAAACTCATATCCCCTCTCGACATCGTCAGGATATCAGATTCAGAGAAAGGAAAAAGGAAAAGTAAAGTTCAAAGAGAGAGAGAGAGGGGGGGGGGAGAAAGAGACAGAGAGACAGAGAGACAGAGAGAAAGAGAGGGAGAGAAAACGAGAGAGAGAGAGGGGGGAGGGCAGAAAAAGACGAGATAGGGAGAGAAATAGAGAGGGGAGAATAGGGAGAAAAAAAGATAGCGAGCGAGAGAGAGAGATAGAGAGAGAGAGAGAGAAAGAGAGAGAGAGAAAGAGAGAGAGAGAGAAAGAGAGAGAGAGAAAGAAAGAAGAGAGAGAGAGTAGAGAGAGAGAGAGAGAGAAAGAGAGAGAGAAAGAAAGAAGAGAGAGAGTAGAGAGAGGGGAGGGACAGACAGACAGACAGACAGACAGACAGACAGACAGACAGACAGACAGACAGAC